GGGGGGGGGGGGGGGGGGGGGGGGGGGGGCAAGCAGGAGCACTGGCGCGGCACCAGACCCGGGGCGAACCTTCCGGCCGGAAGAGCAGCGGCCACAGGGCCGCGTGCCCATACAGGCAGACCACCCACAAGAGCGAGGCAACGTGCATGCCGGCGACCCACCGGCCGAGCGGGCCCCTTGCCCGGGAGCCGGGCCGGCCGGCGCCCAGTAGCAGGGGCTCCAGCGCGGAGAAGCTGCCCCGCCGCCCGGCGAGGGGTGCGAGGGCGCAGAGCAGCCAGCCGGAGGGATGGACCGCGGACGGGCGAGCCGGCAGGTTAGATCACATCAGCAGGGGCGCCCCGATCGGGCCGGGCCCGCGGCATGGCGGCCGCAGGAGGAGACCGAGGCAGAGGCCCAACATACCCGAGCACCACCGTGCAGCCGAGGATGGCTTTCTCGTGCGCGTGCCACGCCCCGAGGAAGGCCCCCAGGGCGCCGAGCCCCATGGACGCGTGGAGGGCCGCGCGCGCGGGGCGCAGGCCCCCCGGGGCGCGTGCTTCCCGCAGCAGACCCCACGCGCTGGGCTGGTGGCGAAGGGGGTGTCAGTCCGGCGCCGGGCGTGCGTGACAGCCAACGGCCCAGCGCGTACCAGCATCAGCAGCAGGGTGACCACCAGGGCCCCGGCCGGCGTGGGGGTGGGCAGGACACGGAAGAGCGGCGTTCCGGTGACCAGCCCCCGCGTGAGGGACTCCTCGGCGTGCGCCGGGGCGGCCAGCAGCCCGGGAGCCACGCGGCGGAGGACTGGCCCCCCCCCCCCCGCCGGGGGGCGAGGGCGCACGCCCAAGCCAGCCAGCAGCAAGAGCGGGAGAGAGGGGAGCCAGGAGCAGGCGACACACGGTCAGCTGTCGCCACAGGGGAAGGGGGCGGGGGCGGGGGCGGGGAGGGGGGGGGGGAGCCCGGCGCAGCAGGCCAGGGCGACCCACGCAAATGCCCCACGCACCGAGGACCAGCACGCGCTCGGCCCCGCAGTAGAGGGCCCACACATTGGCCGCCCAGTAGGAGTGGACGATGCCGCGCGCGCCGACCGGGAACATCCGCCGGAGGATCTGCCCGGTGTGCGCCCGGACAGGCCAGAAGGCCGCCAGGCATGTCCCGGCGGCGGCCAGCGCCAGCCCCGGCAGGCGCCCGGCCGCCCGGCGGGCCAGGCCCCAGGCCCCGGCCCCGGCTGCGGTGGGGCCTCGCTGGGCCGCCGGCCGGTCGGCCGACAGGAGCAGCCACAGCCCCAGCCCGAGGGCCGAGTAGACCATGATGTGTTTGAAGACCACCGACGCGGAGAAGGTCACGGCCGCGGACAGGCGCCGGCCCTGCGCCGCGGAGGGCACGTCAGCATGCCGCTTGGCCGAGAAAGGGCCCGGGGAGGGGGGGAGGGGGGCAGGCGCCCTGCCCGATGGGTCGCATGGCGGCCGGAGGCACGTACCTGGCAGGCCAGGGCCAGGGCATACAAGAGGAGCCCATATGCCGGGGCGTTGTACTGGAAGTGGATGTCTGCCGTGCGGAAAATACATGAGTCCTGGTCGGGGG